ACCCCTCCTTCTCCTCCCAGTCCTGCCCCTTCTTCCACATCTCTCCTCTGCACAAGGGCAGCAGAGCCCCTCACCGAGGGCTGCCAAGGGCAGATGGGCACGGGCAGGGCAGGGCAGGCTGCCAGCACCAGTCCTTTGACCACGGTGACAGAGACTCACTGAGCTCTGGACTTGATCTTACAATTTCTCACCAAAGAATCACTGCCTACAAAGGCAGCTCCACCAGATGCCTTCAAGAAAAGCAATACCACTGTGCTTTATGCTTTAATCTCGTGTAATGTTAGAAATTTGTAAGACTAAACCATTCCTCATAGAGAACCCTGTTTCTCTTCCTCCCTTTTTAGTAATTCAAAGCTGAAGACCCTTCTGGCAATTGGAGGATGGAACTTCGGGACAGCCAAGTAAGTTCAAACCATCTCCTTCCCACAACAACATCCTGAAAAGAGAGGGAGAGAGGAGAAAGAGGCACCAACCAAACCCAACTCTGTCCTGCTCTGCTTCCCTAGGTTCTCCACAATGGTTTCCACTCCCCAGAACCGCCAGACCTTCATCAAGTCTGTCATCAAGTTCCTGCGCCAGTATCAGTTTGATGGGCTCGACTTTGACTGGGAATACCCTGGGTCCAGGGGCAGCCCAGCCCAGGACAAGGGTCTCTTCACTGTCCTCATTAAGGTAGGTTGAAAAAAAGATTTTGGTCAAGCCCTCTGCTCTGCACAGCTCTGGCTGTGAAGCCTCAGCCCAGAAGGTCCACGCTGAGACTGTTCCTTGTCATCCCTCAGGAAATGTTGGCAGCCTTTGAGGGGGAAGCCAAACAGGTCAACAAGCCCCGTCTCATGGTCACTGCTGCTGTTGCTGCAGGACTTTCCACCATTCAGGCTGGCTACGAGAATTGGAAAGTGAGTAGCAACCCTACAGGTATCCAATAGCTTTCTGAAGGGAAACTGCCCTTATCTGCAGAAACCAACCTCACAGCACGTGGGGTCTCTGCTCTTCTGTGTAAGGCAAGAACGTTGAGAGTGGTGCTTGTTTGGTGGGGAAGGGGACACTTCAGAAAGCAAAGGGTGACAACAGGCTGCTCAAAGTCAGGGGGGAACACGTCTTTGTTCCCAGAGTACCAGCACTCTTCCCACTCTTCCTTCATCTCTGCTTCCAGTGGGGACACAACCAGGGATGTGGTGGGTTTAATGGCCAGCACTGAATGGACTGCCAGGTCTGTGTGACTGAGCAGGCCAGGAGACAGACACACACAATGTTCTCTGCAGGTACCTGGACTACATCCACGTGATGACTTATGACTTCCACGGCTCCTGGGACAGAACCACTGGGGAGAACAGCCCCCTGTACAAAGGTCCAGCTGACACTGGTGACCTTGTCTACTTCAACGTCGTAAGTGGACATCCAAGATAGTGTTTAAGATGATCACCATGACACCAGTGATCTACAGCTTAAGGAGACATTCTCCTGCCTACAGTTCCTGGCACAGTCTTGACCTCTGGTGATTTTTTTGCAGGATTATGCTATGAACTACTGGAAGAGCAATGGTGCCCCTGCTGAGAAGCTGCTTGTTGGATTCCCAACCTATGGACACAACTTCATCCTCCAAAACCCATCTGACACTGCTGTTGGGGCACCTGCAACAGGACCTGGGCCAGCTGGACCTTACACAAGGCAGGCTGGATTCTTGGCTTACTATGAGGTACATGTGCTCCTACACACCTTGGCCACCAAGAACACAAACACCCTTCAAACTACCCAGCAAGGAAATACTAACCCATGGCCCACTCCAATATTCCAACTGCCCTCTTTTGTAGGACACTTGGTAACTTCTCCCTCTCTCCCCTTCTTTCCTAGATCTGCACATTCCTGGACTCTGGAGCCACTGAGGCTTGGGATGAACCCCAGGATGTGCCCTATGCCTACAAGGGCAATGAATGGGTTGGCTATGACAACATCAAGAGCTTCAACATCAAGGTAGGGTGGGATGTGTGCCTGTGCTAATAACCAATCATGAGACAGGAGCCCTTCTGCAGCAGCAGGTCCCAGGACTAATTGGGATTTCTCTCTTGGCACTGAACAGGTTGACTGGCTGAAGAAGAACAACTTTGGAGGTGCTATGGTTTGGTCCCTTGACATGGATGACTTCACTGGAACTTTCTGCAAGGAAGGCAAATATCCCCTGATCTCCACTCTGAAGAAAGGCCTTGGTCTGGATAGTGGTGGTGAGTACCTGGAGTAGCTGCTGCTTCTTGAAGGTGTCTCCCTAGCTCACTGCTCATGCAGAGCTTCAGAGACCTAAGGACATTTCTCTCTGGAGTTTTGGGGGATGAAGCCTTTCTGTGGAAGCCACAACTAGAGACTGCCCTGGAAAGATCCCTTCACTCTCTATCCTCCAGGATAAAAGAGGGAAATTGTACCTCAGACCTGGGTCCTGATGGTTGAAGGCCTACTGTGAGCCAGGCCAGATTTTGGGGGACACTCTTTAATAGTTGACCCCACCACTGAAGGGCCTATGGAGGGAGGGGAGGGCGGAGAGACTGTTGACCCCAAAATCACCCTTTCCTTCTCTGATTTCAGACTGCGTGCCACCAGCTCAGCCCAATCCTCCAGTCACTGAAGCTCCAGGCCAGGGAGGTGGCAGTGGGGGCTCTGGTGGCAATCCTGGTGGCTCTGGTGGGAGTGGCTTCTGTGCTGACAAGGCCAACGGCCT